GTGTGTGTGGCTATAAATTATTATTTTTAAAGATTTTATTTATTTTAGAGAGATGGGAAAGAGAGGGAGTGAAACATCAATGTGTGGTTGCCTCTCACATGCCCTGTACTGGGGACCTGGCCTGTGACCCAGGCATGTGCCCTGACTGGGAATCAAACCAGCGATGCTTTGGTTCACAGGTGGCTATAAATTATTCACTTATTTCTGTAAATATCAAAAAGCATGATTGCTGGGTCACATGGGAAGAGCATGTCTATTTTTGTAAAAAACTGTCAGAGTGTCTTCCACAGTGGCTGTCCCATTTTGCAGTCCCACCAGCATGTAGGCGGTTCCTCCCGCTCCACATGCTCACAAGCACTTGGTGTTGTCAGTGCGCTGGGTTTGGCTGTGCTAGCAGGTGTGTGGTGAGTGGTAGCTCATGGCTTTAACCTGAAGTTCCACAATGACATACGATGCGGAGCAGCTTTTCCTAGGCTTGTTTGCATATGTATATCTTCTTCGGGGAGGTGTCCATGTCTGGTGCCCATTTTTTAAGTCAGCTGAAAACATTTTAAGATGAGTAAAAAAAAGAGAGCGTATTACCAATAAACTCTTACTAAAAGGGCTTTGCTTGATCATACTCACAAAGGAGATGAATCATCTCAGAAGGAATGCAAGAAGGAATTATACAGTTACTACTTTGTACAGGATGATGTTATCTTCCTCCAGAAATGATTTACTGTTCTTCTAGAACACAGTTAGTGTTAAGAACAGGTCATCTTAATTGAATCTGAAAATCAGCTGATGGAAAACTGGGTTTGGTTTTAAAAGGCTGGTCTATTTGAAGTTGCTTCTTACTCTCAGAGTCTAACTCTTCAGGGGCCCCCGTGGAAAGCCCCTCCTAGTTGGGGGCCCTGAACTCTCATTTTTGTTCCTCTCTACCCATGAGACTGCCCCAAACTCTGCTTTATCCGCCCCTCAGCCACGGCTCTTCTCTCGGCTCCTCAAACCCTCGACCACAGCTCCCCCATCTGTAAATGTTCCAAGGCAAAAAGCTAAGCCAACTGTCCAGCTCGCTTCTACACTTTCCTTCGAAGAACTTGGTCTCTTAGGCTTTCACTGCCATGGTAGCTCCCCAATTCTTTCAAGCAGTTTAAAAAGGACTTGACAAGCTTTCCTACTCATTCTGACCACAAGTTCCAACTTGAGCTGTCCTGGTTTTTGCAGAGGCCAGAAGGGCAAGTTGAATGGGAGTGTGAGAGGGACCGGCGCTCTTGCCTTTTCGTGGTGACGGTCATCCAGGAGTGAAGTACTGTGCTGTACCCTGCCTATGATTGACCTTCTTTTTTAAAATGTTTTTTTTAAAAGATTTTACTTATTTATCTTTAGAGGGGAAGGGAAGAAGAGAGGGAGAGAAATATCAATGTATGGTTGTCTCTCGTGCATCCCCTATTGGGAACTGGCCTGCAACCCAGGCATGTGCCCTGACTGGGAATCGAACCACAATCTTTCGGTTCACAGGCCCATGCTCAATCCACTGAGCTACACTAGCCAGGGCTGTGATTGACCTTCTTGATCCAGATTGGCATAACTTCAAGGCCTTCCACTTGACTCCTACTTCATAGATCCAAGAGCCCCTACAAAAGTTCTCCCAGGTGCTGGGAGTATTTATCCTAGGTATAAAGAATGGGAAATATAGTCCCGGGGTGTAAAAAAGCCTTATGCCACAGCTCCATTTATCATCCTATGAAAGTTCCGCTCCGACCAGAGCACCTCGGAAGCACTCAGGTGGGCCCCCTACCGGTGTCAGCCAGGACTGCGCGTGCATCAGTTTTGGAAAGTCTGGGCACTTCCTGTACCCGGGCGAGGCGAGGCTGAGGATGACTCAGACTCTTTCGTAACGAACTGCGGAAGGTTTATTGCGTGTACATTTGGCGGGATTGTAGGGTCCTCTGTTGAATGAATGGAGACTGGATATAGGAACTGCCTTAGATGTGGGAAGTCGGGGAAGGGCCTGGTTTTCCCCTGTGGTGGCTGATACCAGGCCTCTGCCCACAAGCTCTTGATTCTGTCTGACTACCTGCCCCCTGGGCAGCAGGTCGATTGATTGATTATCCGCCTGTAGGATCATTATCCTTAAAGTGCCTCTAGGAACACTTTAAGGTCTTCACAACTACAGGGATCCCTGAGAGTCAAAGATAAGGCACCCTGATTGCTGCTAGATTCATGCTGCTCGGGTTTTTTTTTTAATTTTACTTTTTTATTGAATGCATTGGAGTGACATTGGTTAATAAAATTACATAGCTTTCAGGGGTACAATTCTATGACACGTCATCTGCATATTGCATTGTGTGTTCACCACCCCAAGTCAAGTCTCCTTCCGTCCCCATGCCCTCTGCTCAGGTTCTGACACTCACATGTTCCTAACCGAGGTCTTGTGGTCCCACCCTTTCCTGGCAGTGACACAGAAGAGTGTCAAAGGTGCACGACTCCGAAGCGCTGCAGAGACCTGCACGTGACCGGACCGCGAGCCCCTGTTTCAGCTCAGACTGCCCTGCGGCTGCAGGAGATAAGGAGGGGCCTCCTTTAGCTTTGCCTCGGAAGTCGTCCGGCGTCCAGAGCAAACCTTAACTCGGAATCAGGCTGCCCCGAGCCTCCAGTCGTCTTCGGGAAGCTCTCCAGTGCCATCAAAAGAGTCACCGCGTTCTGTGATCCGAGCAATTCACGGGGTTCTCACACATCCCAGCCACTCCGCCTTCCATTGTTTTCCTCTTCAAAGTCGCCAGAGCTAAAAGTTTAGGAGACGGAAGAGCCACCGGATGTTAGCAGTTATTGCCAACCTACTTGTCCTCAGTAACAGGTTTTTGCTATTTTAGAGAGGCGAGCAGTCCAACTACACAATTTTTTTCCAAGGGTATGTTACCTGGGATACCGAATGCCATAGGTCTGTCCCCTCGGGAAGCAGAGTCTGTGGCAAGGATGAAAGGGCTGGCAATTTACCTGGGCATTGTGAGCCCGGGTTGGTGAGGTTCAGGGAAAAAGGGAGGTGAGACAAGAAAGATGTGCAGCAAGTGACGCGATACATCAGGGTGAAGTGACACATGGCTGTACCAGCCACAGAGTCACACCGACACATGGAGCCCCTCAGCAGGTATGTTGGATCATTACGTGGAATTCCTCCAAAAGTGTTGGAAGGAAAAAGTAGGCCTTACCACAGCAGAGCAAATTTATGCACCAGCCTCTCTTTCCCTCTCATACCCCATTGGTCAAGGTTTTCTCCACAGGAGCGTTCCTCCCGGATGGTCCAAACTGCATCACCTGGCCCTGGGCCGCCAGGGAAGGGGCCAGGCTGCATGCGTGGGACGCGGCGGTTCCCCCACGACCAGAAGCGAAGGCGCGACCTGGTGTGGGTGGCAGTGGAGGGATCTGAGAAGGCACGGAAATGTGTGGCCAATGCCAGTGAAAATGACAAAAACTGATGTAAGAAGATGGAAAATCTGAAGGGTTTAGAACCATTAAAGAAATGAAATAGTTGTTTTAAAATATCTCCCTACAAAGAACACACAAAGGCCAGCTTTGCAGGTGAGTCCTCCCCAACTGTCAAGTCGCAGTAATGCCGGACATAAACTCCTCCAGAAAATGGACAAAGTGTAGTATTTCCCAGCGGTTCCTGTGAAGCTAAAATATATTATAGTAAACTCAGAGGAAGACAGTATTAGCAAATTATGATCTTATATGTAATCACGAACATGGACACAAAAATTGTGAACAAAATGCTTTGAATCCGAACCAGCACGTGTGAAGGTTATTACATACTAATGAAGTTCAGTTTGTTCCAAGAATGCAGGATTCAGCACTAGAAAATTGATCGATTGCTTGATTCATTTTAGAGAGAAACGAGAAGGCAGAGAAAGAGAGAGAAACTTCAACTGTGTTTCTCCACCCGTCCATGCATTCACCAGGTGCTTGCTGCGTGTGCCCTGACCGGGGATCGAACCCACAGCCTTGGTGTATCAGGATGATGCTCTAACCAACTGAGCTACCTGGTGAGGGCCGGAAATTTCTCAGTGGAATTCATCGCATTAACCAACTAAAGAAAGAAACCACATAGCCATGCACAAAGAGCATTATTGAAACTTAATATCTACCCTGGCTGGTGTGGCTCAGTGGATCGAGTGCCAGCCTATAAACCAAAGGGCCACCAGTTCAATTCCCAGTTACAGCACATGCCTGGGTTTTGGGCCAGATCCCCAGTGGGGGCCGTGTGAGAGGCAACCACACAGTGATGTTTCTCTCCCTCTCTCTATAAATAAATAAATAAATAAATAAAATCTTTTAGAAAGAGAAACATAACATCCATTTATTAAAACTGCTTTTAGCAAAGTTGAAACAGAACGGAATGTTAATCTGATAAGCTTACAACAAGTACTGTGCTCAGTGGCGGGATGTGTTAAGTGTCCCCGTCAAAGCAGGGCAGCACAGGATCCGCCCGGCACAGGCCCGCGGGGCACCGCACGCACCAGGGACACCACAAGTTGCAGTCTGCATTGCGACAACTTCCCACCAGATGGAAGTCAAGTGTCTTGAGGAAGAGGCTTCCTTTTTCCTATGTGCACAAAGGCCTGGCGTGGGCTGGTGGTGGCCCTGGGTACTGTCACCTCCACTCCTATTAAAAACTGTGACTCGAGGTCCTGGCTTCACAAGAGATACGAGCAGAACTACTTAGTATGGGGACTGTATTGCAAGAAACAAAAGTCGTATATTCATATAGCACATGTATGCAGATGACACAATATGACAAAAATAAAACCCAAAAGAACGTAGAGCCACTCAAATAATGGAAAGGAAACAGTTTATTTAACAAATTGCTGGATCACATCCCAAATCGATTACATGTATCTGCAACAAATACCACTGTAATTTTAAGGATATTTATAATACTTACCAAAAATGAAGTGCCAGAGAATAAATCTCAGGAAAAAAATGGGAAAGAATTTAAAACTTTATTGATCTATAAACTGATCTATAAACTCAGTGTAGCTCCTCTCAGCGCCCCAGCGACCGGGAGGCTCACTAAAACACACACGGAAGAATGAGGGTCCGTGCACAGCCAGTACAAGCTTGAAGAAGACTGAGCTGAGAAGACGTCCACTGGGTGTCCGGCTTCAGTAATCAGGTCAGGGTGCTGCTGGCATGGGGGGAGAGCAGTGGTCCTTGGCAGAGGATGCTTTCCCCCCGCAGGGGAATGTTCGGCAGGTTTTGGTTGCCACAGCTGAAGAGGAAGGAGGGGATGCTGTCGTCATCGGTGGGTACAGCCCAGGGATGCTACTGAATAACACGCAGGACAGCCCCTACGACAAAGAATTATCCCATTTAAAATGGCACTAGTGCCAAGGTTGAGGATCCGGGGGAAGAGATAGACTAATTAAAAAAGGAAAGAAAATATGACCTTGGAGTGAGCATATCCAGCTGGGAACAGCTGGCACACACATATTGGGTAATTTCAGGAGAGTCTGTTCCATACAGGGACTGTTACAAAAGCAAGAACAGGGTATGGAGAAACCCCAAGGGAGAGTGCCGTCCCCTGGGGTTAACAGGAACTGTAACAGGACAGGGGACAGCTAGTAAGACCCAGAGACTCAGAGGGCTGCGCAGAGAGGGCCCAGGGCACGGCAGGGACATTCAGTCAAGGGCCACAGCCAACCTGTAGCGACTGCAAGGAGAGAACTTAGAGGACAAACACCCTGACTTTAAGGACCTCTGATCGCATGTCAGCGCTGCTCATGGCCAAACCCGGTGGGAGCCCTGACCAGGGAAGCAGTGAACACAGCCCAGACAGGTCTGCCTCCCCTCCCTGGGCCCAGGGAAGGCTAGAGAGGGGCTGGGCGCAGATCTGAAGGCGCAAACGGGAGCTCTCCAGCCAAAGGAAAGGATTTCATGAATAAACTACCCAAAGCACAGATCCCTGGAGCAATTTAACATTTATCAGACTTGAAAGGGCACAAACTAAGACAAATATAGAGCACTTTATTTTTTAAAATATATTTCATTGATTATGTCATTACAGTTGTCCTAGTCCCCCCACTTCATTCCCCTCCACCCCACACACCCCCTCCCAACCACATTATCCCGCTTTAGCTCATGTCCGTGCGTCTTACATTTTTTAGCTTCTACATTTCCCACACTACTCTTGTCCTCCCTCTATTTTCTCCCCACCATCTATGCTACTTATTCTCTGTACCTTCTCCCCGCCTCCTCCTCCCACTCCCCTGTTGCTAACCTTTCATATGATCTCCATTTCTGTGGCTCCGCTCCTGTTTTAGGAGTCCACTTAGTTTGCCTTTGTTTTAGGTGTGGTTGTTAATAACTGTGAGTTTGCTGTCCATTCACTGTTCATATTTTTATCTTCTTTTTCTTAGATAAGTCCCTTTAACATTTCCAGAAAGGAAAGAGGAAGAGCAACAAGTGGAAAACTTATTTGAACAAATAATAAAGGAGAACTTCCCCAATCTGGCAAAGGAAATAGACTTCCAGGAAGTCCAGGAAGCTCAGAGAGTCCCAAAGAAGGTGGACCCAAAGAGGAACACACCAAGGCACATCATCATTACATTACCCAAGATTAAAATGAAGGAGAGAATTCTAGAAGCAGCAAGAGATAAGGAGACAGTCACCTACAAAGGAGTTCCCATCATACTGTCAGCTGATTTCTCAAAAGAGACCTTACATGCAAGAAGTGGCTGGAAAGAGGTATTCCAAGTCAAGAAATCCAAAGACCTACAACCAAGATTGCTCTATCCAGCAAAACTTTCATTTAGAATGGAAGAACAGATAAAGTGCTTCTCAGATAAGGTCAAGTTCAAGGAGTTCATCATCACCAAGCCCTTAATATAGAGCACTTTAAATGACAAAGGAGTAGTTTCCAGAATGTGTAACAAAATCCTCTTCATCAATAGGAAAAAGATAAACAACCCACTAGAAAAGTTTTTCAGAAGGTAAATGACATGAATAAGCATTTCTTAGAACAGGAAACACAGATGGCCAAGAAACGTATAAAGAGATGTTCGGCCTTGTTAGTAGTCAGGGAAATGCAAAACGGAACCACAGTGAGATAACACTTCACACCCACCAGAGAGGCTAAAATTAAAAAGGCAGATACTGCAAGTCTTGCCCAGGCTGTGAAGTACAAGGAATTCTCACACGCGGGACAGCAAACGGGCACCTCTGACACGCGGTGCCTAGCGACATGGAGGGCGCGTGCACTCTGACCCAGCGTCTCGGCCCGCAGCGTGTTTTAAAGACGCTCCTGCACCGATGCAACTAGCAAGTATGTTCCTCACAGCATTGTTTTTGAAAATAAATGGTAATATGGCATGTGAATTGTAACTGGAAAATATTAAAACCTAGCATGTTTGTTTTAGAATGATCTTCGATTCACAGAAAAACTGTGAAGAAAGTACAGAAAGTCCCCATGTACTCCACACCCATTTCCCTCTAACAGTACGTGTTACATTTGTACGGTACGTTTGCACACTAATGAACCTCAGGTCCTTTTTCTCTTCATCTTTACCTGAGGATATTTTTATTGATTTTTAGAGAGAGGGGAAGGTGAGAGAGAGAGAGAGAGAGAGAGAGAGAAGCATGAATTGGTTGCTTCTGTACGTGACCCACAGCCAGGGCTCAAACCCGAACCCAGGTAGATGCCCTGACCAGGAATCAAACCCTCAGCCTTTCAGTGCACGGGACGACACTCTGGCCACAGCTCCATGTCCTTCCTTAAAAAATTATTATTTTAATAGCTGAAACTGAAAAAAAAAAACCCTATGTATTAGTGTGAAATAGATGCATAAATCCTGGCTCACTGTTCATTCACTGGACTGCGGTCAGTAAGACCGATACCGTAGCATAAATGAACACACAGGGTCAGCACTCACGAGTCCCAGAAGATTTTGCTGAGCAGCAAAAGCGCGCCTTAAACACCTCCAACACGAGTCCATTCATAAAATGGCCAAAAGTAGGCAAGATAAAATATAGAATTTGAGGATATTCACATATGTGATAGAACTTAAAAATAGCAAAGAAATGATTAACCACAACAATGGAGGTGGTGGCCACCTCTGGTGGGGGAGTGGGACGCTCACACACCTCCCGGGGACAGGGCGGTGGACACTCGGATTTTTATTTTGTTATGTTTTAAACTCTACATGTAGGTCGTATTTTCTTTTGTGTCTGTATGTTTCATAGTAATAATTTAGAAAACTCTGCCCTGGTTGTTGTCACTCAGTGGATTGAGCATGGGTAGGCTGTGAACCAAAGTGTCATGCGTTCAATTCCCAGTCAGGGTACATGCCTGGGTTGCCAGCCAGGTCCCCAGTAGGGGGCGCATGAGAGGCAACCACACCTTGATATTTCTCTCCTCTTTCTCCTTCCCTTTCCCTCCCTCTAAAAATAAATAAATAAAATTTTTATATATATAAAAGAAGAACTCTTATCCCCTTGCAGTTTTTTCTCCCTAAAGCATATTTTCCACCCAGTCCTCATCCTCCAGAATTCTGACTCGAGGCAGAAGGCGACGTGTCAAAGCAAACAGGAACCAAGCTCTCTGGGCCCAAACTCAAGAAATGTGACCATGTCTTCTCTTATCATTCTTTCAAACCCCAGCACACATCATGGTTTTTCCTGTTTCTCAGAAGCTGAAAAAATGCTGACATAATGTAATGAGTGGAAGTGAGGCCGCTCACACAGATCCACACGGAGCCCTGGGCATCACCCCAGCTGCGGTCAGAGCAAAGGCCAAACCCAGGCCCTTCATCAGGGAATGACCCTAAGTTCGAAGCATCACGGAGCAGGTTACTCTTGCTGTGAGAGCAAGTGAGGCCACCATCATCTGCCCAAAAAGATGCCTTCCATAGCAGTGAGAGGCAACTTCTCAACCTGTCCCTCCACCCAGGGGCAGCTGGGCTCCGGGCACTGGACTCCAGTTGGGGCCTGGGAAAGTCTGCCACCGCCGATGTGCTGCGATGTCTCCATCCTCTGCCCTCCCTTGTATGTTCATGCAGTTGTCCACCCATCCACCCAGCAAACGCTCTCTGAGCACCTGCCATATGCTAGGCTCTGCTCTAAGCCCTGGCAACCCATCAGGGAGCAGGGGGCAGCCCTGTTCTGGCAGCATCGTGCCCGGACGACAAATGAAATTGTGCTAAGTGCCATCCAGGAAAGACAGACAAAGGTAGAAGTAAAGCAACCCAATGTGAAAGTGTGAGCCGGAAAGTCAGGCAGCCTGTGTTCCTGTTCCGCCTCTAGCACCTGTACTTTGGGCAAGGTAATCAGCCTTTCCAGGCCTCCGGTTTCCTTTTTATAAATCAGAAGTGATGATCAAACCTACTGAATGGTGTCGATGAACGTTTATTCTTTAAAAGAATGTGTTGACCCCCTCTATGTGCCAGCACTAAGGATAGCAGTAAAGATGACTGGCAAGGTCTTGGCCTCAAGCTTCTTACACTGTAGCGAAGGGAGAGTCGCTTTGATAAGCAAAGGCCATTTCTGATAGCGGTATGGATAGGGACTGAGGTGACAGAGCAAGATGAGGGAGGTCGGTGCTGGGAAGCAAGGGACTCCTGAGAAGTCAGGGAATTCCTCTCTGAGAGGGTGACGTTTTAGAGCTAAATGGTGAGAAGGAGCCAGCCATGCGAAAGGCTGGGGAAAGAGAGAGCTAAGCAGAAGGAATTAGTAAGAGTGAAAGTCCTAAAGGGGCAATGAACTTGGGGTGGTTGATGACTAGCAGGAACACATTCACATTAGGAAAAGTGTTCCCCCGCTTTGAGTTCCATTCTCACTAAGGTGATAGGCCTCCCTGGACCTGGGGGTTCCCCCTCCCCACACTGCCTCCTGGCCCTGGAGCCCTCTTCTGGAACTAAGATGCACTGGGAGCCCCCAGGCTCCTGAGACCTGAGTGAGAAGACCCAAATTCCCATTTGCCCAAGTGTAAGCCCAAAGCCTTTGCCAAGATGTCTGTAAGATCCCAGGGGCTGGTGTTCGCAGGACCACCACTGGGTCCCTGCTCCTCCTGCTCTCTGTGGAGTTGGTTCATCCAGAACATTCTACAGAAATGCTGCTCCTGTTCTGCACACGACAGAATGCAGCCCTTTCCGCTGACTGCTGTTCTCACAGCGAAGTTGGCCAGCCACCCAGATGGGGCAGGAGCAGTCTCAAAGTGAGCACGTGGGTTCCTGTTCTTTGAAGTCCTGCGCCCACCCCACTGTGGTGGGTTTTCCAGTTCTCCACCCTGGCTTTCACTCCCCTTGTCTCTAACCTTTTGCCATCTTGCCAGCTCCTCCTGCCTCCTCACCCAGTTACAGTTCATTTCTAATACCGAGCCATTTCTGCAGCCCTTTAGTGAACTCAGCTCCCTACCTCCCTCTACTGGCTGGTTCAGATATTTCCCCCCAAAAATTCCTGCTGAAGTAGGATTCCTGACAGGTTGCAAGGCTGCCATGGAAAGCCCCTGCACACACAGTGGTTCTAGGTGTTCAAGGTGCTTAAGACACATCAGAGAAACAAACGAAGGCTGAAGGAAGCCAAGCTCTGTTCACCATCCTCTGGCCGAAGTAGTTTTCTGGGTGTTGTCATACCCCACACCGCCCTCTAGTGGCTGGCAGGTGTTAATTCTAGAACCTACTGTCCTCACTTCAGAGTCCAATCACTAGCCTTCCCAGCATTATCCTCCATAACAGCCCATCCATCAAGGGTCTGCAGAGTCAGGTCCTCAGACCAAGTTCTGTATTCTGCACAGGAGCCATTACTCGTCGTAGGGGAGGAGCTGTCGACTGAGGTGCCTCTCGGCAGTGTCTGAGTCCAGTCAAGGAGAGTGAGCTCGGGCCAAGCGTTGAGAGATCCTTGCCCTGGCTGGTGGCTCGGTTGATTGGAGCGTTGTCCCGTGAACCGAAAGGTTTCAGGTTCGATTCCAGTCGGGGCACATATCTAGGTTGCTGGTCTGGGTGTGCAGGAGGCAGTGGGTTGATGTTTCTCTCCCTCTTTCTCTCTTCCTCCCACGGTAAGTGTGACTGGCCCACGGGCAATGACAGAATCAGAGTTGTGACCACACATCGCTTCTTATTTCCTCACCTATCAGGTCCTGTGTCAGCTCCATGGGGAAAGGGGCCGTCAGCTGGTCACTCAGATCCCAGCACAGTGCGGGCACCCCGAAAACGCCGGTGGCAGAAGGAGTGGGTGCAGGAGTGAATGAGGGTGGTGAGGGCGTCTCATTCCCTCCCGCTGCCTCCTCACCCTGACCAGAGTGCATGCAGCATGCAGTCTGGCTCCTAACTCGGCTTCCCACTCGCTCCCTCCCCTGCTCTCCCACCTCCAGCGCCCACGTGACCATTTCCTTGGCTCTCCTCTGGCCTTGGTCCCCAAAATCTGCCCTTGCTGTCAGAGTGCTAGGCTAGACATCAGGAGTCCCAGCTCTGGCATCAGTCAGCTCTTGTCTCTCGTGATTTAATGAAGTGGGTCTCCCTTGGCCCCAGGGTGTGGGGGGGGGCGCCTTGGGACTGCGGTAGCCTGACCCAGAGTTCTTCCCTGTCTCCCTCTCCCCTCCCTCTCTCCCCCTCCCCTCTCCCTGGTACTGTCTATCTCTTTGTAGTCCTACCTCCTTCCACCCGGAACCCCTGGGAACTGCTGGTCAGATCTCCATCAATATGGTTTGGCCTTTTGAGAATGTCCCATTAATAGAAACAAGCAGTATGTAGCTTTCTGAGACCAGCGTCTTCGACCCAGCATGATGACTTAGAAATGCATCTCAATTGTATGTTTTATTTTTCTTCCTTCCTTATTTACTTTAATAACTAATTAATTTTGCTGAGTAGTATTTCATCGCCTGGAGGTATGAGTGTGTTTCTCCATTCACTTGTTGGATGTGTGAGTGGTTTCCAGTATTTGACAATTATGAATAGAGCTGCTATAAACATTTGTGTATGGGTATTTTTTGTGAACGTTTCCCTGGGGTAAATACCGAGACAAAGAATTGCTGGGTTGTATCATAAGTGTATGTTCAACTTTATAAAGAAATTGCCAGGTGGCTTTCCAAACTGGCTGTGTTATTTTGTATTCCATCTGTAATCTATGAGAATTCCAGCTGCTATCTCCTCCCCAGCACTAAGTCTTGCCAATATTTTTATTTTTATTATTCTAATAGACATGTAGTGATACCCCCATGACAGTTTTAATTTGAATTTACCTAATGCAATAATGTAAGACTAATAATGTCCAAACATTTGCATAAATGTAATTATTGATATATTATGGCTTCAGCCTGACATTCAATATTTTGTTTTCTGTTTGTTCTTTCATTTCTCATCTTTTTATTCTCCCACCCACCCACCATCTCCTAAGTTAACTATGTATTTTACCTGTTAGTCCTTTATCCAGTACAGGATTTATAAATATTTTCAAATGTCTAATTTGACTTCCCATTTTCTCGATGATGGCATTAATTAGCTAATTAATTTATTTATTTTTCTCCATTAATCTATTATCTAAACCCTGAAAAAGGATATTAAATTAATCTGAAGTGTAACCATAGTATAACCATGCCAGAAAGACTGAGCATTATACTTTCATCCTATAGGAAAAAAAACCAAACAGAAATGGACAATAAAATAATGAGATGCATTTTCATTATTTTTCTTCCTCTCCTGTAAACAAATCAACCCCTCTGCACTGGCTTCCGCCCTTGGCAGCGACATATACCCTCCCCCTGCCCCCACTGCACACAGAGCAAAGCCTCTTTTCCTCTCCTACAGCCGAAGCTCACACACAGTGTCTGTATTTACTACTTTTCTCTCTCTCTCTCCTCAGGCTTCTGTAACGGTGTCATATGAACGGTCCATAACACCATCCACGGACACCCAATTGCCCAGCCAAGAAGTGCAGTCCTTTCTAGTGTGTTTGACACACTTACATATACTCCTCTTGCTTGAGGTCATCTTTGGACGTCCATGATGCCACTCTCTGGTCCTGTCACTCTCGGCCTCCTTTTCCTACCACCCCTTACAGGTCGGCGTTCCACGGGAGTCTGACGAAGACTTCCAGACTAGACCACACACACACACACACACACACACACAGAGTCTGGGTGAGAGACAGTCACACTACAAGCAACGGCCAGCTGACCCTCGCCATTTGGACGTCAGGAGGCGCCTCCGAGCACAATTCCCGTTTGCAGTCCCCCTAACCCCACACTTTCTGGCTTTCCTTGTCTTGGTGATCTCACCATCCAACTCGTGACCCAGCCCAGCAATCTGGAAACCACGGTCACTTTCTACTTCCCCTTCTCAAGAAATACCACTAGTGTTACTTACCATGAGTTGCTCCAACCCGTCTCCCTGCTTTCACTCGTCCTCATCAGCTCAAGTCTGCACTATGTTAAAGGCCGTCTTGGCGCCGCCCTTTCCAAGTCTGTCACTCTTCCGGCTGCTGCTCGTGATCCAGCTGCTTGGCCAGCAAGGCAAGTCCTTGCCCCTAAAATGAGGCTCTTCGTGACCTAAATGTTTTTTGCTATTTGCACCCTGGCACTGTCTTGCCTCCCCAAAGCAGCATGTGTCCAGCTCTCCCACTCAAGGTTCCCTTTGAGTGGTCTGTCCTGGCCTAGCTGCTCGGCAAATTCATTTCTCCTTCAAAAGCCAGTTTTAAAAACGTCCACTCGAAAGGCCACCTCTTCACACATCTCCAGATGGAGGCCACTGTGTCCAAGGCCGCTACGGCTCCATTTCATGGATTTACCGAGCTCTTCGAAAGCTGGCGACTGCCTTCACAGCAAGAACTTCTCGTTTGTTCCCTCTGGCGGCCTTGCAGCGCTTTGCTCATGATAAGCACTAGATAATCATTTCAGGGCTAAAGTCACCAGACTCGGTCTCATTATGTTATAGACACATTACTTTTCTTCACAGAGATGGCTGTCACAAATGCAGAAAAATAAAGCTAACCTTCAAAGGTTAGTCAAATTTCACGTTACGGAGTATGGGACTCATAAGCACTAGACACAGTTAGTTTCGGTGGTTGTGTACCAAGCTCACACATTAAAACTTGGGGCTTCGCCAGCTTGGCCTGTTCAGTCACGTCTGTACCCTCACCAACAATAATTCTGTAGTAAGTGTGTTAAATATCATAGTTCAGTTGGTGAGTGGGATAGATGAATGAAAATAAGTGGGACATCCAAATGGTGAGCTGTGAGCTCTTCTGGTTTCAGAGTTTAAGTTCTTTGGAGCACACCTGGCTTCCCAAAAGTCAGTAAATAAAAGATTAAAGGAAAATAATCTCACTGAAGGTGACCGAATGCCTTTTCAGATAAACTAAACGGAAAAGAAACAAAATAAAATGTATATATCCTTAACTGATTTTTAAAAAATATTTAATTTACTTATTTTAAGACAGGGGACGGGAGGGAGAAACAGGGGGAGAGAAACATCAGTGTATGGTTGCCTCTCGTCTGCCCCCTACTGGGGACCTGGCCGGCAACCCAGGCACGTGCCCTGACTGGGAGTCAAACCAGCGACCCTTTGCTGCGCAGTCCAGAGCTCAGTCCACTGGGCCACACCAGCCAGGGCCCTTAACTGATTTCTCAGGTAGAAATTAAACTATTAGCTTAATTCAAGTTGATTACATGAAATTTTCTACTTGTAATAGCTATTAACTTGAAACTATACGGTTTTTAAAAATTTTATTTATCTTCAGAAGGGAAGGGAAGGGAAGGAGAGAAGGAGAGAAATATCAGTGTATGGTTGCTTCTGGTGCTTCCCCTGCTGGGAACTAGCCCCTGCTGGAAACTGGCCTGCAACCCAGGCATGTGCCCTGACTAGGAATCGAACCACGATACTCTGGTTCGCAGGCCCGCGCTCAATCCACTGAGCTACGCCAGCCAGGGTGAAACTATATGTTTTGATTTAGTTTATTTTAAACTCTCTGGCAATAAAGTACTTTTACAAATAGTACTTTTTTAAAATAAAAAGTACTTCACAAATAGTAATGTCCTAAGAAATACAATGCTATCCAATCTATAAATGTTAAAAACTGTTACAACATGGTGCTATGTGAACCAACCTGGGTCCATATGGAGGTGGGAAAGGGTGACCAAAGAAGTGTATGGATGGAGATACACATATCCATCTATCCAATTTCTCAAACACTCCACCATTATCTACCCGGCACTCCTTCATGCCTTTAAGATCATCTTTAACATCATTAACGAAGTCAGTGAAGAGCTGCTGACCATGTATGAAAAAAATGACTGATGAGCCCTGGCTAGTGTAGCTCAATGGATTGAGCATGGGCCTGTGAAACAAAGGGTCACCAGTTCAATTCCCAGTCAGGGCACATGCCTGAGTTGCAGGCCAGGTCCCCAGTAGGGGGCATGTGAGAGGCAACCACACATTGATGTTTCTCTCCCTCTCTTTCTCCCTCCCTTCCCCTCTCGATGAAAATAAATAAATAAAATCTTTTAAAAAATTATTGACAAATTGATCAAGTTCTTTCCGATGATGAAAAGTATCCAGTTTTTCTATTAAATTACCTTTCAACTAACTATCTAAACTCATCTATCCTTCCAGGATTAGGCACTTTCCTGTTTACAAAGTTAATGGATTCCTGTCAAGCACATTCAAATACAACAGAACAAGCTTTTCTGAAAGAATTTGAATTTTCGCTACAGCCATGTTCAGCACTAGATTTCTGAATTCGTACTTTATCTCAGTTCTTCAAAGTGAATTTGTAACAGGGTGCAGCCAAGAGGGGAGCCCCAGCTAGGGCTTTCTAAGGGGGTCCAGAAGAGCCTGGAGATGACGGGCTCCTCCCCACAGGGCCGCACCGGCCAGAATGGTGGCAGCTGTGGCCAATGGTGGCAGGAGCTGGAAATGGGGCTGCAGAGGAAGACTGGTGCTGGGATTCACACGGAGGTGCGACAGCCATTGGCCGCCTCCCTTTTTGGGACCATGCATCTGTTTAGGACCTTGTGGCTTTGGTGTCTTGATTGGGACCGTGTGGCTTGGGTGAGAGCGGGACCACGAGGCTTTGGAAGTGCTCCCTCTTGCCACGTGGAGGGTGCTGGGAGGGCTGTGTGAGTTTGTATTATTTCAAACCAATAATAAATTCTTTTCCTTTTCACTGATCTCTGGTATTAAGATACATCTTTCCTTAGGCAGCGAGCAAAATGAACCCAGTAGGTGGGGAGGAACCCCGGAAAAAAGAGGGGGTCTTTTATATTGTTCAGCCCCATCCCCCGGTCCGTTCTGTAACAAATTGGCTTTCTTCTCCTTCCCGCTCTCTGCGTGGCAGAGCCTCTGTTATTCTGGTTTTGTGACATACTGTGGGTTTAATAAATATTCGCTAAAAACTGTTGGCTTTGTAGCCATGCCTGCTTTTGTAGCACCAAACCTCTTGCTGCCCTTCTCGTCAGAGATACTCTTGGTGGTGCCTGAAATGTCCAAAAGTGGGTTTAATGGACTCCGAGACTTTTTTCAGATTTTCTTTCACAGCTTCTTTTACCTGCTTAGTTTTTTTTCTTTTATGGCACCTCACAAACTCCTTGGTAGGAGTCTTCGAGGCATCAAATGTTTCCTTAACTGAACCCCCAATTTTTTCCTTTGATTTATTTTTAGCCCTGTGGTTTCCTCTGCTCCCTTACTCGTTCCCATAAGTTTCTCGTTTTCCATTTTGATCTTGCCTCATTATACACTTTCCCACAAATCAGAGCACTGCCGTTCAAAGGGAACTTCCCCCCCAGCTCAGGGAGCCTTTCTCATCAGATTTCCACTTCCCCTGCTCAGGCAGGACGTGGGGAGAGCCCGGGCTGCCCACTGACCGCCCAGCCTTAACACCACGGTATTCGGTCATTCCCCCTCCTCAGCATGTTCGCTTCCGCCGGTGGAGTCTCCCTTTGATGAAGGCAGCTGTGCGTTTTCTGCTTTTCTTCTTCCAAATGCTGCTTATGTTTCCGATTTTTTGTAACTAGTTCAGTACTTGTCCCTTTATCTTCCCGTGTCCTCATCCATTCTCTTCGGTGCCACCTCTTCCTGTAGTGAAGACAAAGTTTTTCTTCCTTCTCCAGAGGTATTCTTAAATCCTGATCTTCTGTGTTAAGTTTCTTTTTCTGAACGTCAAAAGACAACTTCTTCCTGGCTTAAATTCAGTAAGGGCCCAGCTCTGTGCAAGACTTTCCCTCAACGACTTACGATCCGTAACAGACTCCTGTTACTGGTGACACTGGGAAAGAGAAGCCTTTGCATCATTCAGTTCCTCTCCATGTATCTCTGCGACTCACTGTTGATGCTCCCGAATCTGAATTGTGCCGCAGAGACGTCCAAACCCCAAGCTGATTATGATCACCAGCAAATGTATCACAGTACCGAGGCCACTGCTGAAACGGTGTTGACACAGCTCCTCCGAGGGGCCGGTTTCTAGTTTGGTGAGCAGTCAGCCGTTCTTCGGATTCTGAACTAGAAGCTGCCTTCCTCCTCCTAGTGCAGGGTGGCCTCAGGGCGGGAATGGCTGATGACTGGTTGCGTCCCTACCTGACCTGTCAGCACCAGACTGAGGTGAAAATACAGCTTCTGGCTGACAGAATGTGTAAGTTAAAGTCTTCTGGCCTCTGTGCTTCTGTAACAATTTTGGCTTCTCCTTGGTTTCCAGTTTCTCCTAACTTAGGTGGCTCAAGGGTAACAATATCAGAATTGTCACTGATCATCCCCAAATAGACATTGTCTGCAGGCAACTTTTCTTCCTCTCCCTCAAACACTGACTTCCTTTCCCCCAAAGCCGGATAAGCAGTTTCTCCCACTGACATGTGACGTTTCTGCTGCCCTCTCCCTGCTCTCACTGCTCGTGGCTCTGAAGACAAATGCTCCAGGCTGAGCTCACAGCTGTCACTGGCTGTCCCTGTTCGGAATCCACCTGCTCCATACAGACCCCCTCCTGACTGAGGGTGGTCCAGCCACAAGATGAATCACTGTCTCTGGCATTTTCAGACACTTTTCAGGCCTGAAGGGGCAGCGCCACCTCCGCTCCCCTGTGCTGGCTCCATGATATATTTTAAAAAGCAAAAGTTTTACATTTGAAATCGCGTTGTCAATTCTTCATTTAGGTAGCATGCTTGTGGAGTCATTGCTAAGAAATCTTCGTTTAAGTTTGCTTCTAAACATTTTACAGTTCAGCTCTTACCTGAAGGGCACATGCCTGGGTCCTTCTACAAGCCATTTCGAGTTCATTTTTGTGTGTGCAAGCCCTTCCTGCTGCACGTGGGCATTTGTTCCGGCACCACTTTCAGTTCATCTATTTCAATGCAGTAATCCACTCCGAGTTAACTAATTGAATCACCTTGGCACCTTTATTG